AAAGTTGACTGAAGTCGACGGAACCAAACGGAGATGGTCGAAGGCGTGGGCTCAGGAAACAAAAAGAAAATCAAAAAAAGAGGAGTGTAGCATACGTGTAGTATAGGAATAATCCTACACCGTATCGGTTGTTGACTGTGCGACTATTCGCGGAAGCGTACGGGTAATCGTACTCGGCGACCGGAACGTGAGGCGGCAGTCTCGTTCGCGTCGCATAAGCCTGAAATCTCATCCGAAGTCAAGGGCGGCGTGGTCTGCTGATCTGGACGTGAGACTGTCGTCTCGTCCGTAGACGGCGCAGATGACGCGTGCTGTTGACTGGGACGTGAGAATGAGGTCTCAGATGTATCTAGCGTGGGACCTGAAGATGATTTGAGGATCCCGCTAGTAGGTCTGCTAGGTCTAGCATTGAATCTCAGGTTGTGAGATAGGGCACTGTCATCGACGTGTGCTGTTTTGAGACGGTCAATGCTGACGATCTCGACGCGGCCGTGTCGATCAACCTTGAAGGTCTTTACGTGACGAGCGATCACGCGAAAAGGGCCTTCGTAAGGTTGTTGCAAAGGTTTGCGTACCGAATCTACTCGTATGAAAACATGTGAACAGGTAGATAACTCTCGAGGGAGAGCGACCTGTCGATGTTGTATTCGAGTTGACACCGGAGGCAGCGTTCGCATAAATGCAGACAGTCGTTGGACGTAGTCTGATTTAGCGAAATTAGGTCTGCTCCGTGGTGTGAAGAATTCCCCGGGCAGACGCAATGTCGTGCCGTATACAAGTTCAGCGGCGGAACATTGGATATCTGCCTTTAAACTCGTTCTGATACCTAAAAGAACGAGCGGTAAGGTTTCGTACCAGTCGTCGTTTTCGTGTGCTCGAAGAGCACTTTTAAGTTGCCGGTGAAACCTTTCAACTAAACCGTTTGAAGCTGGATGGTAGGCGGTAGTGCGTATTCGTTCCGTACTTCCTGATACTGAAGGGACGTAGAGTGTGGTGCTTCTGTACAGCTGGGATCGTTTGCTTGGGCAGCGGCCATAGCAGGAAGATCGAGCACCGGCAGGGTAACTGCATTCATTTGGATTCGTGATAGAGCATCGGCAACACAGTTCGACTTGCCTTGGATGTGACGAAGGTCTGTCGTGAACTGGGAGATATAGTCCAAATGTCTGCACTCTCGTGGTGAGTAGCGGTCAGACTTGGTATGCAAAGCATACGTTAAGGGCTTATGGTCGGTGAATAAAATGAATCGACGTCCTTCTACTGCGTGCCGAAAATGTTTGATGGCGCAGTAGGCTGCTAGCAGCTCGCGACCAAAAGCGCTATATCTCGTCTCCGTGGTAGTGAGGCGTCGTGAGAAAAACTCGAGAGGTTGCCAACTACCGGAGATGTTTTGTTGCATGACTGCTCCTATAGCAACATCGGATGCATCAACCGCTATACTAAGCGTGGCCGATGGATCGGGATGGGCGAGAAGAGTGGCTTGCGCAAGAGCCGTTTCGATTTCAGTGAATGCAGTACGTGCAGAACCGTTCATTTCCAATCTGCGTGGGTTGCCGCGTAGTAAGTCGGTTAGTGGTCGTAACCGTTCTGCCGCGTGTGGGATGAAACGACGGTAGAAGTTAACCAAACCGAGAAAAGCCTTCAGTTCCTTGAGTGAGGACGGCACGTTGTACTCCTTTATTGCTTGCACTTTGTCCTCACAAGGTAGAATACCCTCTTGCTTGATAACATGACCCAGAAATATTATTTCTCGTTTACCTAACTCGCATTTGTCTGGGTTAACTACTATTCCGTTATCCGAAAGGCGTTGGAATAATAGCGTAAGATGTTGATAATGTTCATCTACGTTTGATGATGCGATTAGCAGGTCATCAATATAGACGTGAACAAAATCGAGGTCTCGTACAATGCTATCGATAAACCTTTGAAAAGTTTGAGCAGCATTCCGTAATCCAAATGGCATTCGTAGGAACTCAAACAAACCGAAAGGAATCGTGATAGCGGTCTTTTCGATATCTTCAAGAGCGACTGGGATCTGATGATATGCTCGTACCAGATCGATCTTAGAAAAGATAGTCGTGCCCTTGAGCGATGCCGTGATGTCGTGTATGTGGGGGATGGGGTAGCTATCAAAGCGCGTAACTACGTTTAGAGCTCGGTAGTCGCCGCATGGTCTCCAACTAACCCCATCTTTTTTGCGCACCATGTGTAGAGGAGAGGCCCATGGACTGTGAGAAGGACGAATAATACCAGTAGCTAGTAAATTGTCAAACTCACACTTAGCAAAAGCTAATTTGTCCGGTGCCAGTCGGCGAGGTCGTGCCGTGACTGGCGGTCCGCGGGTGACTATGTGGTGTACCACACGATTGGTCACCGATGGAAGCTCCTCGAGTGGTTTAGTGAGTACGGGGAGTTTCTCGAATAAAGCGTGGAATTTATCGTCACGCGAGTAAAAAGTGCCGAGGATTCGGTACGCGTTCATGTGGGCTTTACAGCCCATGAATTTGCTGTTCGACGAAGTATCGATTAGCTGCAGCCTACGTGAATCGACAAGCAATTCATAGTGCTGTAGAAAATCGATACCTAGTATGGCTGTGGGAACATCAGCAATGATGAACGTCCACAGATACCGTCGTCGGTTGCCCAGGTTGACCGCGAGTTGTCGTGTACCGTAGGTAGGAATGACTGAGCCATTCGCAGCGCGTAGTCGAAGCACTGTGGCTTGTGACTTGCTGCTACCTCGTGGTACGACAGAAACTTGGGCCCCAGTGTCTACTAGGAACCTAGCGTTTGTGCGATAATCGTGCACATAGAATAGGCGACCAACCTGGGGAGAAGGGCCGGCGAGTACGGCCGCTTTTACTCGCCGGCGCTGGCGTTTCCCGCCTTGTATGAGCATGGTGCTCGACAACGGCGGGCGCCAGACCCGAAGGACCTATGGAACCAGCACCAACTGTCACTCGCTTCCGTAGCCGCCTTTCGGCGTGGCCTGGAAGATGCCCTTTTTGGGCGAGTGGTGACGGGTTTGCGAGAACTTGAGCGAGCTCGGGGGACGTAGGGTTGGGGTACGTTACAACGGTCTCGAAAACTAAGACGTGTGTGAATACACCCGTCCCTGTCACCATGAGCTGAGGAATGACCGGCGTCCATGTCTACTTTAGGACGTGCCGTCGAAGCAACTACATAGGTGTCTCTATTGCTAGTCCTCGCCAAAATTTTGTCTGCTATGAGGGCTACCTGGTTAAGCGGTGAGTCCTCGAGCAGTGCCGTCACAGTAGGTTGGATATGGGCTGGTAGTGACTCGAGCCATAATTCCTTAACTATCTCCGAGTCAGATGCTGTTGGTCCTGCAAGAGATTGCAGGCGCGTGAGGTGATGGCTTGGTTTAGCATCACCCAGGGGGTGACGTGCTAACAGGGTCCTCAATCGTTCCTCCCTTGATGGGAGGAAATGTCGGAGAATTGCCTCCTTGAGGCGGTCATAAACATTAGGCACGTTAGAATTGAGGACGACCTCACGAACAGCTACTAAATGGTCCCCGGGTAACGATTCGAGAGCGTAGGCGTATTTTTGCCTTTGGCTCGTGATACGACGAGTCTCGAACTGAGACTCTATTGCAGCAAACCAGACCTCAGGGTCGTGGGGGATAAATGATACAGGTCGAAAATGAATGGCCTGTACGTCTGAGTCTATAACATTAATAGTATTCTTCTCGCTATCCGTCATGTCGTGTATATTATATATTAAAAATTAATATGAAAATATACGACAGACGTGGATAGATAAATAATAGACTCACCAAATTGACTTCTTTGGAAGATTTGACCCGAGGTTGCGGCGTGTTCCAAACTTTGGGATCACCAATTGTAGCGTGGCGTCGAGTTGAGATTAACTGTGAACACCGCTACCAGGAAACACGTGCCAGATAAATCAGAAGGCGAGAGTTGAATGTAACCAGATTTATTTCGTTGGCGATCTCGTGGTATTGAACGAATACCGAGATCGTGCCAAGAAGAGGTACAAGCGAAAGCAGAAGACAGGAGTACGTGCGAACAGTACCAAAAACCGCGGAACAATGATGGAAGGTAATGGAAGCACAAAATGGCTATAATTAGCACAGTTAAACAAAAGCACATTAAAACAAACACTGGTACAGTTGGTTATAATAATAATTGTTTTTATTAAACCAGTCGTGTTCTCGTGATAAACGTGAGTCACTACACTACCATGTGCACCACAGTATACACATCCTTGGTGATAACTAATATTGAGAACTGCGTCCAGGCTGCAAACTTCCGTTTAAGAGGCGACTCGGATATCCTAGAAAATGTTCGGACGGCAGCTACCCGTGCAATTCCAGAACACCGGGGTTTACCATACAAAGAGCGACTTGAAAAACTGGACCTCTTTACTCTATCCTATTGCATATTTAGGGGAGATCTAATTTTGATGTACAGAATACTGGGAAATGATGTTGGACCTAACGTATTATCTCTTTTTCTTCCCACTAGATCGGGACATCACAGAGGACTTAGCAGCCGAGTAGAAAAGCCAAGAACGAAGAAAATACCATTGATATACAGGTTTTCACATCAATTCATCAGTTCTCGAAACCTGTTACTCGAAGCTGTGGTGTCCGCAACCTGAATTGACCCATTCAAGAGAAGACTGGACACTAATAATGTAGTGAACAGAACACCAGTGGAGACAATCGATTGTATTTGACACAATATTACAGGACTTGCTGAAAAATCGAACAATCATATAGTAAATGCTTAATTTGCAAAATGTCCACCAATTGTTTCAAAATGACTCGGACTTCATTGTTCTTGCATTTTCATACAAACTGCATTATGTTTCCATTTTTTACTGTTCGATCCTCATGTCTCTCTGCTGCCAGACATTCTATTCACGACTAACGTCATATAATACTTATGTCAATATAAGTAGCACACCACAATAGTAGCGTACTAGAAAAAGTATAACATATGCCGTAATCCTTCTGTCCTTACCACACAAATCTGCATTTTTGTGCGGTGCAGAATTTGAACTTCGCATAGTCAGACGCGGGCCATATCTAACAGACGGTACTGTGTGAAGCTGGAAACTGCGGCTGACATTTCCCTAAGGCCAATGTCTTCAGCATCCTCTAGCAAAGCAAAACCCCCAACAGAAGAGGAGATAGTAGAAGGTTTCAATCGGTTGCGCTACGAACAGCGCTCTATCGGGAGCAAAATTAATGATCTAGAACTTGATCAAAGGGAACACAAGTAAGTTCGCGTAAAATTATGTACATTTCCTAATTTATGGATACCGTAGTAAAAAAGTAAATTATCATTATATTTAACGAAGCCTCACGACGAGTGTTTCGGCCTGTTTTCACGACGGTTCATGTTTATTTTCGTTGTGTCGGGAAATGAGACTAAATAATTTATGCATATTCGGATGGAAATATGATTCTTCTTATTCATTTTTACATTTAAACTTCATAAGCCGCGTTTGGCCCACTATTTCAGAAGTCCTGAGGTGTTAATGATTTTATCTAAATGATAATTTCCCATTGACTTTCGTTTCAGTCACTTGAGTAGATAATTAAAAAAATAAAAGGGGTTTAATGTTTTCTAAGCATTGATATTCTCTTACCTTGCTGCCAGCTTTACATTAAAGTTGACGTATTTTGAATTCGTGTCCCTTAAGCTTGATATTATCTCTGTCGTAATACCTGTTATAATTCTTAAGGTTTTTTTCGCGAGACTAATTAATAGACGACCTTTGAACGAATCCAAAGTGACCTTGATAAATATTAGCCAATCAGCAAACAGTTAGTATAGAGTCAAAATATATCATACAAAACCAAGGAATTAAAGTGTATGCACTTCTTATACGTTGTTCAAAAACTTGTCAAGGTTAGGAAGAGGTTCAGAGGTTCTAAAATCGTGATGCATGCAGTAGAGGAAATCATCCCGAGGTCACAGAATAGTCGGCCTCTTGAGCCATAATAAAGTCTCAAAAACCTTTTCAGCCTCGACCACATAGTTTCAATATTGTTTGTGTGCACTCCGGTTGTTGAGTGCACAAAATGCTACTTCTGTATAACGACACGATGCACATAACCAAGCCTATGTAAGAGTCTGTACGCTCTCCAAACATCCGTTTATATTGTAGTACATGGCTGCAGCCAGTGTTACTGGTACTTTTATTATCCGGTTCTCAATAATTTTCATAATTTGCCTTAGTTAGGAATTATATACGGGGTTTTCATCACGAGCTGACATCAGCTATAATGCCAGAAATTTATTTAGCCAAATGGATGAAAGGCTTTCGCGTTAAAATCTGAGATCTATTATCTTACACCTGATTGATTCGTCCACAAATTATAGTCAATATTTTATTTGCTATAACCGCTCAATTATCACGTTCTGTACAAAATTCCATGTGAACCGATCGTATGTTAGCATTCTATACCAAGACAACGTTTACTTAACAAGTTAGTCAGCGTCAACAATGACAGCTGGATAACCAACTGGATATGTTCATACCTCTCTGGAAGGGAACAGTACACTGTATTTGGAGGAAAGTGTCGAGAGTCTCTACTGTCTCATGAAGGTGTACCACAAGTGGCTGTTCTTTCACCTCTTTTCTCTTTTTTCTACATGATCTGCCAGCTACCACAGAAAACACTTTTGTGAAATATGCGGATGATCTTACTGTATGTATGCCTATCTCTTCCTCTTTACATCCCACAGAAATAAATGAGTTTTTGTCTCGTATTGACTGTTGGTATGTTGGTAATGGTCTTATACTTAATCCGTCTAAATGTCAAGCTGTTAACTTTAGCATGAGACATGAACGGAATATAAACACTATTTTGAGATCACATAATGCTTGTGCCACTGGAGACTCTTCGATAAACCCAGTGTCGAAGGTCAATTATCTTTGTGTTACTTTTTCCTCTGATCTCTCTTGGTCTTCTCACGTTTTATTGTTATCGAAGGTTTTCCATCTGACTTACTACATAAAGAGATTGCATGCTCTTGGGAATATTCGTCATTTACTCTCACAATTTGTCAATTCTTGCATATTACCTACTATTCCTAACTGTTCTCCATTATTCTTTCCCGGGCTTTTGAGAAAAAACCTTGCTGTATTGCCGAGAGTGCTGAAGGCAGTTAGCAAGGTGTGTGATGAATCTTTCGAGGTCATAATTAATATGGTTGTGGATAGACATCTAAAGTCATGCAAACTCCTGGCAGGTGTTATTTTATCAGATACTAACCATCCCCTTCACTCCTATCTTTTTCCTTGTATATCATCTGGCAGAACGAGACGTAATTACATTAAAATCCATGCACTCCAGCAGAAGTATAAAAGTTCTATAATACCTTACATAGCAAATATACTCTGTGAGAGCAGGTTGTCAGAGTTAACCTAGTCACTAATCTGCATTCTTAATATGTCTCTAATTTGGAAAGTTGTACAGTCTTTCAGATTTTTTTAAATTTCCCCTTTTTTTGTCTTTGTTTCTGTTTTTTTGTGTGTAAGAAACTTGTTGAAATACCCTGTGCTGAGAATTATATATTGTACCAAAATATAATATTGAATAAAGCCATTAATACTACTAATAATAAAAGCACCGAAGTCGGCGCCGTAACCTTGAAATCTCTAAAACGCTTCTGATTGGCTCGTCTATAAATTAGAGTCTCGCCCGTCTTCGTTATGGGACTAGTTTTTATGCTTTTGCTTCAGCTAATAGTGAAATAATCGTTTAAATTTAAATTGATCCACACTGATAATACGTCGGCACTTTGTAAGCTGGTTGTTTCCTAGTGTATTTTTTTCTGGACTTACTCAGGTGGAAGATGACACTCAGTACGACACCGGGATTGCCCACCGAATCCTTCATTGGTTTACAATTAGCATTTGTTCACATTATGAATTGAATTAACACATAAAAATAATCTTATTCAACAACTTCTGTCCCGTCTTCTATTTCTGGAAAGTATAGTTACCGAACCAAAGTTATAGTATTGTATCCTATGACTACACTTGTGTCCTAGGGTTCTGTTGATTAACCACATGAAATTTTGATTTTGTTGATACTGACCACTCTTTTCTTGTTAAATATGTGTCCAGTTTTAATACATTTACGTTTTGAACTTTTTTAAAGTATGGTCATTAAAGTGTTGCAGTCAGTGGAGCCTACTCGTAAATGCATGAGAATGATAGACAATGTATTAATTGAACGTCAAGTGAAGGACATCCTTCCGGCTCTTGAAGATAGTGTAAAAAAAGTGAGTTTTATTTTTTAAATTCATACGTCCAGATGTCTGAATGTATCGAAACATTGTCAAAGCAGTTTGAGGAAAAAGGTCGAGAACTTCAAAGATACAAGGCTGAGCATAAAATAAGAATTGCTGGTGAAAAAGACTCTACAGGTTCAGAGAAAAAGGATAATATATCTTCGTCATCGACTTCGGGTGTGTTAGTATCCTGAGCGTTTTGGTGTGTATAATGTAATCATTGTCGGATGTGATCAGTATGTACCATAAAAATACTCTCCGTGTGTAATAAGAATAATGTATTTACACCTCTACAAAAAAACTATCAATTGAATGAAACATTCGTCATTTGTCTTTTGGTTTTTATTTTCATTATATAAAAATGTCTATGGTGTTCTTCATTACCATTTAGGCTAGCCATTGCATCCTGTTGAAAAACAAAACTAAGTATCCGTGTATATTCCAAGATAATGGAGAGGTTGTGTAACTCAGGTAGATAACTTTAGTAAAGTTTCATAGTGTCCTCTTCATTTTGATGAAAACAACTATTGGTTGACTGCTTAGTGTCGATCATGAAGATGCAAATGCTCATGCTATCCATTTCAATTTAAATCTAAAATGACTTGCTTGCATGTATTTACACATGTTCCTCTTGATTGCATTGTCAACTAGGAAGGCTTCTGTAAGTAGGTGTCCTGCCCATTCGCATAAGTTTCAGTCGGACAAAGCGGCCATGGATATCCATTTCAAATAGGTGCTAGCTAATTTTGTGTGGACGCTCCAATTTTACCCAACACAATGGACGAGTTATCTAAATTGAGAAACACAAGTACTTCTCTAATCTCAGTGAATCCAAATGATGTGCATCAAGATTTGTTTCAGTAATGTAAGGTGTCTGGTGGACGTAATCTACAGAAAACCTATTGCTGATACCCAATGTAACGATCAGATGCTATAAAAATTCAGCCGTTCTCTTAAACTAGGACATACTCCGATCTTAATCTCAAAACACTTTGATCTTCTTAAAGTCGAGTTTGTTGATTACTTATGGTAAAGGGGATGACCCCATTGAGGCTTGGCTATTTGACCTCATAGAAGAACTGAAGTTATTTGTTCCGTTCGACTTATTACCTCTGTGTATTTGTCAATGAAATTAACCTTGGGTTTTTATTGAGTAGTGGCGAAATTTTTAAGCATTAGGAACTAAGTCTCATTTGCTGTGAACAGAAAGTCAGACTGTCCATATTAGTTCAGGTGACTTCGGTCCCTACATTAACCCACCCTTGTTTTGCATACAGCTCGATGCGAAATTCAACAGTTATCTGTCCAACGATTAGTTTCGTCAATGTCATCGTCGTGATCAACATATGGTCTGGTATTAATATGCGTTAGTCCTATTTGCCATACTACATCAGGATGGCGATGTGAAATTAACAGTGATTATTAAAAGTCAAGATTGTAGCAGTATGATAATGCGAAAGACTGAGTACTGAAGACTGCTGTTCGAAAAGAAGAAACAAATTTAAGGGATGAGAAGTACGAAATAATATTAGAGCTGAAGAATTAAGAGATGAAGAGTGAATTCACTTGAACTGCTGCGATTGGTCGTGAAACATATCACCCGAAATCCCCAGACGCATGGTCTGCACCTACTGATACAGTTGGTCAATCAGAAGTCGTCGAATGAAAAGGGCATATTATGTCAGTCAGAAATATCCGAAATGATAAGTTCGTGCTATTGTCCAAGAAACGGTTTTATTGTCTAGGGTCTATATATATAATTCGGTTTGGCCTAAACGTTTTCCATTCTTAACCTTCTCATTCAATAGTCAGTTGAGTTTTGTGGATAGGAAGTTCCTCTATCATTTTGAGCCTCGGAAACCGCGCCTCACAACACCTACCAACATTGCTCAGTTCAAAGGATGGTTTCATTGACTGACTAAATGTTTTTGTCTAGTCACCTTCAGTAGTCTTTTAGTGGTCCAGTATTTGATTCCAGTTAAATTGTTTGCTGATTACTTACACCTGTTACTCTCAGTGGAGTATAGGCCGCCGACCAGCATTCTCCAACCCACTATCTCCTGAACCTTCCTTTCTAGTTCTATCCAATCGTTCATTCTTCTCATGTCTGTTTCCATCTCGGCACAATGTGTTATTTAGTCTTCCTCTTCTCCTTTGGCCTTGAAGATTCCATGTGAGGGATTGCCTTGTGACGCAGTCGGGTACTTTCCTCAATGTGTGCCTTACCCACTTCCAGCGCTTCTTCTTCCGCTGGAATCTGGTTTGTTCTCTCCCACAGTACGTTGCTGCAGATAGTGTCTGGCCAACGGATCCGAAGTATTTTACGTAGACAACTGTTAAAAAACATTTGTATCTTCTGGATGATGGTTTTCGTAGTTCTCTAAGCTTCCGCCCCATGCAGTAGAACTGTCTTGATATTTGTATTGAAAATTCTGAATTTGGTGTTGATTGATAGTTGTTTTGAGTTCGAGATGTTCTTCAATTGTAAATAAGCTGCTCTTGATTTTCCGATCCGCACCTTCACATCTGCATCAGATCCACCGTATTCATCAATGATGCTGCCCAGATATATAAAGGTTCTTACATCTTCCCAATCTTCTTCGTCAAGCGTGATTTGATTAGTTCATGTTGTGTTGTATCGGAGAACCTTGCTTTTCCCTTTGTGTATACTGAGACCTATTGCTGCTGAGGCTGCCGCTACACCGGTCGTTTTCTCCCTCATCTGTTGTTGCGTGTGAGATAGAAGAACCAGATCGCCTGCGAGGTCTAGATCGTCTAGTTGCTTCCTAGCTGTCCACTGTATCCGATGCCTCCCCCAGATGTTGACGTTTTCATAATACAGTCGATCACCAGGAGAAAGTGAAAGGGTGGGAGTAAACAAGCTTGCCTGACACCGATCTTTACCTCGAACGAGTCTGCGAGCTGTCCTCCATGAGCGATTTCACAGTTAATTCCACCATAATAATTCCGTATGATGTTGATTATCTTCTCAGGCACGCCGTAGTGTCGAAGAAGACCCCATAGTGTTGTTCTGTCCACACTATCAAACGCTTTCTCGTAGTCAATGAAGTTGATGTAGAGTGATGAATTACATTCAAATGATTGTTCCACAATGATCCATAGTGTTGTGATCTGGTCGGCACACGACCGATCATTACTTAATCCAGCCTGTTGGTCTCGAAGTTGGGCATCTACGGAGTCTCATTCTGTTTAACAACACCCTGTTGAAGACTTTTCCTGGTATTGAGAGAACAGTGATGCATCTGTAGTTCTCACACTTGTTGAGATCACCTTTCTTTGGTATTTTGATGAGGTGTCCTTCTTTCCAGTCTGTTGGTACTTGTTCCTCATCCCAAATCTTATTGAAGAGAATGTGGAGTATCTTTGCCACTATTGATTTGTCTGATAGGCATGCTGATCTCTTCACTTGTTGATGGGCCAACATCGATTTGGAGGCCCGTGAGTGCTGCTTCGATGTTGGGTGGTTTCAGTGGGGCTGGTCGATTCAAGACTTCTTTGAAGTGTTCTACCCACCTGTTTCGCTGTTCTCCGATGTTGATGATTACTTTACCTTCCTCGCTTTTCACTAATCGTTCTGGTTTACGATAATTGCCAGCGAGGTTGTTTGTTGTGTCATACAATTGTCTCATATTTCCTTCTCTTGCAGCCTTTTCTATCATCATTGCTAGGTGTTCCACATATTTACGTTTTTCAGTTCTCATGCTCCTCTTCACTTGCTTGTTTACTTCTGTGTATTCAGTTTGCTTTGGCTTTCTCTGCTCTTGTCGGTTGGTATTGATTGCTGCCTTCTTGTTCTTCCTTTCTTGAATCTAATCCAGTCTATCAACAGTGATTCATTCCTTGTGATTGTGCTTCTTGTGGCCCAGAACCTTCTTAAGTGTTGAAGTGATTGCCCCCTTGATCTTCTTCCAGTCCTCCATATTAGTTCCCTCTACATCGAGTAGATCGCGAAAGGCCTGGGACCTGTTGCTGAGGGCTATCTTGAATTAATTGAGTCTGTCAGTATTCCGAAGAAGAGCCGTATTAAACTTTTGTCATATTGTTCAGTGCTTCTTGAGTTTAAATTCCATCTTGGCGACCAGCAAGTGATCATCTGAGACTACATCAGCTCCTCTCTCGATCCTCACGTCCTTCAGAACCTTTTATTGCTACAGATATGGTCAATTTGTTTATGCTTAGTGTGATCCAGTGAAGTCCATGTGGTTTTGTGTATGCTTTTATGTAGGAATATGGTGCCACCCATGCCCAGTTTATTGAAGGCACATAGGTTTGCAAATCTCTCACCATTTCGTTCCTTTCTCCCAGTCCGTGTCGTCCCATGATGTCTTCATATCCGGTGTTGTCCATTCCAACCTTGGCATGCAAGTCTCCCATCAGAATGATCAAGTCTTTTGTTGGGCATTTCTCGACGATTGACTGTAGCCTATCGTAGAATTGATATTTAGCGTCTTCATTGTAGTCGTTGGTAGGCGCATATCATTGGATGATGTTCATTGAAATGCCCTCTTTCTTTGTTTTAAAGGAGGCTTTGATGACCCTTGGTCCATGAGATTTCCATCCAGTTAGTGCATTTTGTGCTTGTTTGGACAGCATCAATGCAACTCCTTGTGTATGTGGGGCATTTTCTTCTTCATGGCCGGAGTATAACAGAAGCTCCCCTGAAGCTAATCGTTGTTGTCCAACTTGCGTCCAATGTGTTTCACTGATCCCAAGCACCTCCAGGTTGTATCTCCTCATTTCTGCAGCAATTTGAAAGACTCTCGGTTTCCCTCACTGTAAGAGCATTCCATTTACCTAAATTAATGGTTGCTCTGGTTGTTAGAATGGGCACCAACCTCGTGACTTCCGAAGGAGCTCGGCTTTCACTATGAGGCGTCATGACTTCTAAATGGAGACCTAACTCACAGGGCAAAGTTTAAATGGTCTGAATTGTTTTTTCTGGTTAGCATTTTTTAGTGAGTTAGTTTTCTAAGGGATGGGGTCGCTAACCCCATGCCAAACCCTCCTCCTTTATCCCGGCTTGGTGCCGGCAGTAGCCCCAGAGGGGATCCAGGCAGAGTTCTGTAGCAGTAAATAAATCCCCAAGTTAAATAGCTCTGTAAGTTTTCGACATTGGATGCTGACCACATGTTTTAATGGACTCACCTAACTGAAGGCGCTCGGTCATGCATCCGCACCAGATCACGAGTGGGAACGTCATGTTTAACAACCACTGCAATCGCTAGCCAGATTAGATCAGACGATCCTCGATATATTGGTAGCATATCAAATATATCTTCGAACTTCTTCGCTTCTGTCTTTTGATTTCACTTGGTGGGTACGCTTCATATTAGGTGTTACTGGTTAAAGCGTTGTCAAA